TTTAAAAAATGATTTTTTGAAGTGCTTCGAAGATTGGAAAACCCGTTGGCACCAGTGTACAATATCTCATGGGGATTACTTTGAAGGGGACAAAATAGGTATTCATGAATAAATAAATAATTTTTGAAAAAACACAAAAGTCGCGATACTCTTTGAACACACCTCGTATATATACGGACGCAGGAAAATATTATTTAAAAAAAATGGAACGCTTCTCGATTTAACGTGTTAACCTTGCACAGGGACCATGCCTATCTTTATCGTTCCAATTTAAGCATATGTACCACCAAACAAGGGTTTAAAGTAAATATATATTTACCCTACATCCCAATTATGTAAAAATGATACTGTTTCAATTAGCAAACAAAGGGAGGGTGAGTTGACGGATTGAACAAAGCTTCCTACGCGGCTCAACGCTCTGTACCCCACACTGAGGATTACCTCGCTAATCCCTCGACCCTCTTTTTATCTTCATCATCATTATCATGGCGCCAATTTGCCTGAAACCAATCGATCCGCCCAAAATTAATATTTAGAACTCTGTTTTTGTGAGCCACTCGATTGAAAAAGATTTTTTTCCATTACTTGATTAATTGTACCGTTTGCAAACGAATTTTATAATTACCTTTTTTATCCATTTACATAAATAACCAATTTCATTCATTTTTCATTACGCTTAAGAATAATTAGAGGCATTGATTTTAATTAGGAAAATGAGGAGGTGAATATGAGAAATAAAATTGAACTCTCTTCAGAAATAAGAATAAACTCACTGTAAATATTTAATTTTAAATATTATATAGAATTAGGAAATATTTGAATTGTTATTTCCCAAAACCCTTGTCTTTCATAAAATGATGAAATTTTAGAACATAATATTTGATATTTTATATATATTTTTCACACATTAACTTTATTTTTAATATCTGAACTTCTATTTTTCTAAATTTTAAAAATGTTTTCGAAATTATTGTTAACCATTTTAAAATATCAATTGGCTGGAATTGGAATCATAATTCCTATTTTTATGTTCTCTGTATTAGTCAAATAATCAGACACCATTTATATTAAATAAATAATAAAATTTATTTTCTAATTTAAGTATAAATTAGGAATTTGAATAATAGCATTAAGATTACCATTTCATTAGGTTTAATCTTTTTTTTTTTGCTGATATTTTGGCCAAAGTAGATATTAAATATTTTGTGCTGTTGAGGAGACCACAACCTACCTCATTTAAAAGAATTTACAAAAACTGATGGTATCTAAATTTTAGTATCTGAAACCATTTTAAGAAAAACATTCCATTCTTTATAGATGATGTTTTCCTGGCAGATATGAATAAGGAAATATTACTTTTCTCCCGTCAATATTAACCTAAAACCTATGTGCAGCACATTGGCCCTCTTGCAAACTCTCGGGTCGTTGACAAAGTTGGGTATTCTGAATTTATTAGAATTTGTGTCGAGCCTTTGTCACCGACCCAGTTTATTATGTTGAAGAGATAGTCAATAGATGGGTTATAGGTCTTTTCAATATTTTTACCAGATAGGAGAACTTTTCTTTAATATGTTATTTGTATGATAATATTGCCACGTTGAAAATTAGCAAAGACGAAATTCAGGAAGATACAGCAATTTTATTGAAGGTAAGAACAAACCATGAATGATAAACAAAAGATAAGCAATGATGGAATTTCACAGAGTAGCAAAATATAAACATCAAAAATAATACTTTGTTGATTAAATAATAGATACTTTGCTACAATATCAAAGATTTGAATTTTCAACCCTTCTAGAAATCACTAGCCATACACTGCATTTGTGGAATTTTGAACCAGGAAAAGACATTTTCCTAGATCTACTTTATGAATTAGACCACTTGCAGAGCCAAAGTGTCCTTTAGAGAGAGGTGTCCTTTAATCGGAGAGTATCAACATACTAAAAATGGTAATTTGGTAAATGAATACTGACCTTTATAGAGAGGTGTCTTCTAGCGCGAGTGTTCTCTCATGGAGGTTCTAATGTATGATAATATTGAATATAATGATGGAGAAAATAATATGATGATTATAAAATTCATTGAGCATCATTATAATATGGTATACTAATAACTGCTATGAATACTTGACAAATTATAGGCTTCTCCCTTGTTCCAACGAATTATAATTAGAGAAAAATGCTTGTATAGCGCTAAGACATATCGTTTCCTTTTGTCTTAAGAAGATGTAGTCAGTTTTCTCAATAGATTGAGATTAAGGATAATCTTACAAATCTCATCCCTTTCCTTTTGAAGGAAAAAAATTATTATACGGAAAAGAAAACTATATTTCTTTGTGTATTATTGTTACATTATTTTTGAAATGTAGTACAGTCGAACTTGGATAATTTGAAGCCTAGGGGACAAAATAAAAACTCGAATTAAAAACGGTAATTATTTTCACAGGAAATTCTAGGGACCAAGATAAATATTCGGGAAAATAGGACGTTTTCAAATTAAAGACGTTCAAATTATCCAAGTTCTACTGTATTAGTAATAGAGCGTTAGAGAGAAAGAGAGTTGTAATAAAGATTTCCCTCTCTTGCACTCTGTTATTAGTCTAATTAACACATCCCAACGTCAACACTATTACACTTACTATTCGACTAATAAGGTCTACATTCTATATGGTATCAAAGTTTCATCCAGATGGCTCGAATATTGTGGAAGCTTTTAAGGAATTAACTGAATATGTAAATTAGCCTGTATTCGTATCCATATGAAATTCCGATGTCGAAGCTGTGGAATGTCCTACAAACAGACTTACTCTACATATTGTCAAAATTTCAGGAGATAGGGGATAGATACAGCGGTAGAGTGTGTGCAATAAAGGGATTGTGCAGATTTGACTGTAATCTGGTTAATCTTGATTATACTACGTCCTACCTATGCAAATTATTCCAAGCATTTTGAAATAAAATAGAATATGTTTTCGAAAATGTCACTTACCATATAGATGACATGCTAATATCTCATATTTCACTATGGAAATATGCTTATACGAACTTCCTATACAATCACCTGTGTGTCGAGAAATATTATATCTATCTAAAATATCTATAAGTGAAACTTGCCATCGTGACCCTCATACGAATCTAGAATAAATAATGTGAAAGTTTTTCTTACAATCTAAAAAATATTGTATTGTGAATAACAAACTATGTTATAGTACTATTATATATATTGACCTACTACACAATGTCAAACCTCTTTTGTCCAATGTACACTCTTTTTCGGCGGTACATATACTAAAATTAGAACGATACAGAAAAGATTAGCATGGCCCCTGTGCAAGGATGACACAAAAAACCGTGAAGCGTTCTATTGCCCATCATATGAACAATCCCAAAGGACAAGGACCAATTGTTTTATTTCCGTACATAGACATTTTTGAAAACAATGCAAACAACAATATGTATATAAAAATTGTGGGATAAGTTCTACTTTCGAAACACTGTGTGAAAATGTTTTTAGTTTATAGCCGTAATTTATTCTAGTTTATTTCAATTTAAAGCGCTATGTCCCCCTAGGGTCACTTGCGCTGTCATACATGTATACCTTTACATTTGTTTATACCTATATATACAATACTTTTAGGCCGTGAATAAAATAGTCATCAGATATTAACAATAAGGAGAGAAAAAAAAACGAGAAAAAAGAACTGTGTACAAAAGAAAGAAGTGTCTGGCAATATGTACAATAAGCAATATATAAATTATCAGTTTCTTAAAAGATATTTGTTGCTATATATTTTTATACTATATATATGCAATACTATACCGTTATATCACACATCTATGATACGAAACACATTTTAAAACTCCATACACCTATTCTCCAGACTGAACAAATCGTTATAACACGCCAGGAAAATGATTCCTGATGTCTATCCTTATCAACTTCAATAACAATTTCTTTAACGCTCGATCAATACAATTTAATCATACAACGCTCTGATATTAAAAAAGAAGAAAGGCTACATTAATATTATGATGGAAGTTGGTCAGGTTCTTGATAAAATGAACTCGGTAGATCAATCGTGGTACATATTAAACTTGGCGATCTTTTGTAAAAGCTATTCATAAGTTTGCTTCCCATTTATTGTGTTCATTTTGCATAAAAGTAATATATTAATATATAGTATTTAAGATAAGATTAATTTCAATATATATATGGTAATTTAAACCAACAACCCTATATTGTATAATACTTATAACAAGATTGATATGTTGTATATAGAAACACATCTATAAATAATTATACGCATGATTGACATGTTTCATCGCATCACCATATGTAATGTACTTTGTACAAACTGAGGATGAATAAATAAAACTATGTAATAGATTAAGAGCTGAGCTAAGCAAGAGATCGAGATAGAAATCCAACATCCTAAAAATGAATTTGACAGGCCGTTGCCATCAGGTCCAAAGGGTGTAGAAAATACCGCAGACACCCCACGCACTTTACACCCGTTCAAAGTCCATATTCTCGCATGTCTCCCCCCCCCCCCCCTCGGCAAAGATATAAAACATCTGCCCTAGCCGAAATGTTACTTACAGTCACTCCACCATCGGCGTGAGCCCTTGTCGGTCTTAGCCAGGACCACCTCATCACCATGTAAAACAGTAAGAAATATTCTTTAACTCCATCTTGCTCTTAGCTCGACTCCTATCTGTTTATGGAACTTTCCTACTACAACTGTGTCTTTTCGTTTTGTGTGTGTGGACATTTCCAGGCTTTCCACTTTGCCTCGACCACGACTGCCTGTACTCTGTGAGAACTGTTAAAGGTCCTACAAGGTGCAGAGAGGTACTGGAAAACTCTCCACGCCCTGACTGTCCCTCTCGGTTACTACTGGTTTGACCCCCGGTTACCACAGCTTATAGCGAGAGTCTACAGAATGCCTCATCACAGATAAGTTGACTGGACCTTATCACAGAAGAGTCGACAGGATTCCTCATCACAGATAAGTCGACGGGAATCGAACCCGGGCCGCCCGCGTGGCAGGCGAGCATTCTACAACTGAACCACCGATGGTTATGAGAAATAGCCATTTTTGGGTATTTATTCCATTCACAAGCAAACGGTGACAGAATTGATTAAGAAAGAATTGATTATGACGCTGATAACTGTATATATTAATATTTGGTATAAGAGAAGTAGTATTGATAGTTAAAAATAAATTACATAAATATAAGTTTTAAGGTATCAAAAAGGTTTTGTATTTTTATGTAACAAAATAGGGCCATATCAAGTTCACGTTGTAGCTTCGGCAGTTACGCGTCATAGTAGCAGAACATAGAAAAAAAAAGAAGAATTGAAGGTATTAGGATAAGGAAAAGAGAAAATACAGAGAACCTTGTTAACCTTTCATAAAACCTTTAGAAGTAAAAAGAATAAAAATTCTATTTTTTAAATGTTTTTTTTTTTATATTTATGTATTTCTTTTTGTTCTATAACGTTTAATAAAATTGCTAGTTTAAATTGGAGTAAAATGTTTATGTTTTGTGTTAATGGAAATCAATAGTGTTAATGGTTCAACCAATTATATATTTAGAGACATATAAAACATTAAATCGAGTCTTTATAATTTAAACAATTTTTTTTTCCAGATCTTTAAAGGTTTTACTCGCTTATAATTCTACGTTCTAGCAGTTGGAAATTCGTCTGAATCTATCTTTTAAATTACACTGGTCAACAAGATTTTTGCACAAGAGAACCTGATTATGTTTCTAGTGTAACTTTTCATGCTGAACTCAAAAATCTAATAAGAAATTTCCCATCACCTATGGTTTTTGCGTGACGGTCTTTTTTAGTATTGGGATAAATACACTAAAAATTGCAAACAATGTCACGTAACTGGTTTATCAAAAAATATTTTTCTTTGTCCACAAAGAAATAGCATCTTATCTACATGTCCTGAATCCAAATATACCATTAGTTATTTTCTATTACACAATATTTCTGAGATACACCTACTTGAATTTGGAAATATTGTTAATATATAGGCATATATGAACGAAACATATTTATTATTGAAAAGCAGTGACAGTGTATTTTCTTCTATACTTTGCTTGTGGTAGATCCCTCTTGAGTGCCCAGCAGTCGTCGGCAAGCATAGCGGGACTCCATTTACCTTGGTACCGCTTCTCCATGCTTGATATAGCTTGATGAAACCTCTCACCATGCTCATCGCTAACTGCGCCAAGATTGTCTGGAAAGAAATCTAGATGTGAATGCAGGAAATGGATCTTGAGGGACATGTTACATCCCAGTGCCTTGTAGGAAAGCAACAGATCATTAACTATGTCTCGGTAATTTTCAACCTTGACACTTCCTAAGAAGTTTTTGCAAACGTTTCTAAAGGAATTCCATGCTGCTGCTTCAACTTCATTCAAACTATTTTGAAAATTTCCATCCTGCTGCAATTCTCGAATCTGAGGTCCAACGAAAATGCCTTCTTTTATCTTCGCTTCACTTATACTGGAAAATTTTTGTTTTAGGTAGGCAAATTCACTGGCATTTCGATCCATTGCCTTGACAAAGTTCTTCATTAATCCCAGTTTAATATGTAATGGTGGTAAGTAAATATTTTCTGAATCGATCAGGGGTAGATTTGCAATATTTTTATATCCTGGAGTAAAGATTTTACGGTTTGGCCAGATTTTTTTAATGTAATGCCTTTCCCTATCTCTGCTATCCCACTCACACAGAAAACAACAAAATTTTGTATATCCAAGCTGTAATCCACGCAAGAGAGCAACGACTTTCAAATCGCTGCATATTTTCCAACCGTATCTTTCATATTCTATCTTTTTCAAAAGCAGTTTCATGTTTTCGTAAGTCTCTTTCATGTTGGATGCATGTATTTATCCCAATACTAAAAAAAGATCGTCAGGCAAAAACCATGGGTGATGGGAAATTTCTGATTAGATTTTTGAGTTCAGCATGAAAGGTTACACTAGAAACACCATCAGGTTCTCTTGTGCAAAAAAAAAAGTTTTTTTTGTAGACCTGTGTTATCCATAACGTCAGTGCTCTGCACTTTAAAGCGTTAAACTACCTCAGAATTGTGCGTTCTAAACCTTGTAAATTATATTTTCAGGTGATATATAACACTCACTGTATCAGGTATCTGCACTCTCAACAACCCAGACTCCATATTTAAAATATTAATCTTGTCCGACTGTAATATACATTAGGAACGTTAAACTTGACATGCCACTAGTCAGACATCTAGGAATCAAACGTTGAAATTGTCAACTCAAAGGATTTTAACTCTATAATAACTTGTCACTGAAATATTTATAATGCAATTTGTATATTATTATAGCAAGATACTACAGTATGTATAAGGTAAATTGGGAATAACTTTGGCAATCCATATGATAAATACTTCTTTGAATAAAAAATATGCTTCTATTTATTCCATAGCTAAAATCTTTTAAACGTATCATTACATGAATATTTTGTGTATTGATGATCAAAAATCGAGAATTCGAGAATAAAGTAGCCATCATCGTTGTTCTACGCGCGCCAGAAAGGGCCCCAAGAGATGGTCTACTTTCTTAAGTTGCTCAAAGCCACAGTTTATCGTGTCAAGAAGCTGATTGATGAAGCCGACAGTAACAAAGAGGGAATGGCTGCAAGGAAAAATTCTCGAGTCGATCGGACAGGGTAAGAGGCGAAGGTTTGTCAAAAATATAAAAGATAAGATTATTGAATGTCCTGAGAAGAGCATGAGGGCTATAGCCAAGGAAATGGATGTTAATTCTAGATAAATTCTCAGAACCATCCATGAGTATACCTTGATCTCAAGTACTATGCCCCTCGGTATAAAGAGTGCTGCTGAGTGAGAATATGAAGGATTACAGAAAAGGAGAGGCTTTTTCTCTTCTTAACAACCTAAACATGACTTTTCTAGCCTTGAGAAGTTATTCTCTTCCCAAATGGACATGATAATCTTCACCAAGGCCCGGAATTCCTTCAATATCATTCCTTACTTCAATATTTATTATTCATTTCCACCACAATTGTGTATACACATTTTCCACTGGTGTCTGTGTGTTCGAGTCTAGTTATTCATATTATTGATTCAAATAAATATTTATACTATTGTCGTAGCCAAACCCGGACTACCTCTTCCATGTTAAGCGCCGACTTAAATGCCATTTATTTTCAGGGTTTGAACATGTGAAGCCTGGACTTTATTGACGATGATCCATCACCTCATACCTGTGAAATAACAGTCATTTTTGTGTAATCGACCAAACGGAGGTGCGTAATCATCAACAATACGACAACTATGATCAACTGTATTGTCACCATAATAATAAAGTTACGTCACTGGAACACGTGATAGTCTCCTTGCACATGATATTCTGCATGATGGGGAATACTGTGGCGAGATGTCATGTGCCCGCAGGATCTTCTCGTTCTCGTTATCACAACCACTTGAGGAACATGTGTTAGTTTCCTCTGGTCGTCGAGTCTTGGTAAAATAAAAAGTCTCACTTATATTGTAGGCGATAAAATTATTTATTTAAAAAAATACACAAGACAACAAAATTATACTGAAAAGAAAATAGCACGTGTCACGAGGCCACCGTTGTCACTTTTACTCTGTGGCTCGACACCTGCTGCCACCTGATTGGTCAGGCCGCCGTGACCATTGGGAAGGCGGGCTTCCGCCACCCGGGTTGCCGCAGCCCGTCTGTTAGGAATGTCTCTTACATTCGGCCACTCCTGGATGTCAATCGTCCCTGATTGACCCTCGCTCTGCAGGAACGTCGTGGACGTCTGAAGTTCTATTAGTCCTAAAAAGCGTCGTATGTCGTGGGTATTCTTGGTTTCTGGGGATTCCTCTACTTCCGGATCCTTATCTGGGCTTTCTTCGATAATACAGTTATCTTCCTCGCAGTTCAAAGACCTTAGTTGACTGATATCGACGGTCGTCGTGTAGAACCGTCCATTAGCTTTTTCCTCCAACTGTGTCCGATTCGTGGTCTTGTTCTCTGCATTATTCAAGTCTCCCTCTACTTCTCGGATTTTCAAGTCCCAATTCTTCTGTCGTGGATCTTCGCTGCAGGTTGCTATAGTGGACAATAATGTCCTGCTCCCTCTTTCGAGCATCCCGTTCCTTTGAGGATGTTTTGTTGTGTTAAGCGTGTGATGCATTCCATTCACGGCATCATTTGTTATTGCATTTGCAATCTTAATGCAGTCACTCTCCAACTGAACAGTCTCGGTTGCTCTCAGTTCAACTCGGCGCAAATTAATTTGATCTTGTAGGTGAGCGAACGGAAATTCGGTTGAATAGTCAATATGCAATTTATTGCTGATTTTAGCAAACGATACGTATGGTAGGTCTGTCCATGTTCTTCCAATCAGCAGATCGTAGGGTTGAGCATCATCGTTCACAACGAAGACAGGGATTTCTCTTCCGACGATGCCATCAATCTCCAGGTCGACTGTCGTCCTTCCAACGGTCCTGGTAGATGGTGCAGTCTGGTTGTCAATGCCATATATTCACATACATGGTAATAAAAATTATGTACATACCATTCGTGGTGCAACTTCTTTACGTTAATCTGACATGGCATCTGGCATTGTTTGTTACCGTCAAATTATTCCAGCAATTCTTCTTTCTTCAGGGTTATCCTGCTTCTGAAATTCTGTTAGCTTTCTCTGGTCGTCGTGTCTTGGTAAAATAAAAAGTCTCACTTATATTGAAGGCGATAAAATTATTTATTTAAAAAAATACACAAGACAACAAAATTATGCTGAAAAGAAAATAGCAAGTGCCACGAGGCCACCGTTGTCACTTGTACTCTGTGGCCTCGACACCTGCTGCCACCTGATTGGTCGGGCCGCCGTGACTATTGGGGAGGCAGGCTTCCGCCACCCGGGTTGCCGCAGCCCGTCTGTTAGGAATGTCTCTTACACATGTATCTTCATGTGTAAACGCGTCCGTGGTTAGCTTTTCTTGATTAATAAAGAATGGGATTTGGCCTTTCTGGAATAATTAAAAATCAACGA